GCAAAAATTATTTTTCTATAAAGCTAAAGCAATTATTTTTTAATACATTTAGTGATTTTGCATGGATTCAATTAATGGATTTTTGCGCCGAATACTACCAAATCGATCAAATTTGCGAAGTAATAGTGAATTTTCATTTGAATTACTACGAAGTGCTTCAGCTCGAGAACTTAAAAAATGTGCTAATTCTAAGCAAAATTGGCCAAGACGCATTAGTGATCGAGAACATTTCCATATGAATTCTATTCAATCGGTAAGTGTGGCTTAATTTGAATTTTTATAGTGATTTAAATATAATTATTTTTTAATTTTAAAAAGCTTATTATTGCTAACTTTTGATAAAAATAATCAATATAATACTTATATATTATTTTTGATAAAGTTACTTGTTTTAGCATTTTTTACTTTTTACAAAGTAATTACTTTTCTTAATGCTAGTTACTTTTGATCTCATTACTTGCGACTTTTGAGTCCTTCATTGTAATCAGTATCAATTTTGGTGTAAGTATTTACTTATTTTCGATTAATATGATGGTGCTACTTCCAATAAAATAGATCATTATATGATCTTTACTTTCGATAAAATTATTTGTTTTAGAAACCAATAACTTTTAAATAAGTCTGCAAGAATTAATGGTTATTACGGATATTAACAAGTGTATTGCTGACTTAATTACAATTAATTGCAGACTTATTTAAAAGTTATTGGTTTCTAAAACAAATAATTTTATCGAAAGTAAAGATTATATAGTGATCTTATGTATTTTGTTAAATTAATAAGTATATATCCAATGATGTAAGTCATTTTGTAAAATATCTCTGAGTTACTTGCTTAAATATTTATTTCAAAAAGTACGAGGCTGTAAAAGTTTAATTCAAAAAGTATACAGAAAATTAAAACTAAAAAATAGTACACCAAAAACTGAATTATTTTATTTCAAACGTGCATAAAATAATATTTAATCAATTTAAATTTATTCTAAAAAACGTTAATATTAAAATTGAGAGAGAATTTTTTTAATAAATGAATTGAAATTTGTTTCATTTAATTTTCAGCAATAAATATCTTACTAATTTAAACTTGTAATTAATTCCAAAGAATTATCATTTTTTAAATTTTGGGATTGGATAAAGTTTGAATTTAGCAAATAAGATTTGTTATATATTTATTATTTATCAAACTTTCATAATTGATAAAGTCAAAATTGATTATCGAAATTTTTGGTTAAAAAGCTTATTTTTTCAAAAACAAAATCAAAAAAAATTTTTTTAAAATAATTTCTTTAAAATTATAGTAAAAAATTATATTTAGCAAATGGAAAATTCAAGAAAATGATCAGTTCAATTTATGAAAATATTAATATTTTCTCATACGAATAACTTTTTTTTCTATTTATTCCACAAAGTAAGTATTTGCGATAATTTTATTAAAAAAATCGAATATTTTTTTGAAAAAACTGCAATTTGACTAAAACTCAAAAATAATAATCCGCTTCGAAAAAAATTTTTTTTAAACCAATTTTTGAATTTTAAATTCTGTTTTGAATTATATTTCAAAAACTTTAATGCAAAAACTTTTTTCATGCATAAATTGTATTCAGTGAATAAATTAATAGTTATACAAAAATTGAAAAACTTATTTTACCGTAGTACTTAACTTTAATTCTTGAAATAATAAATAAATATATATCAATGATTAAAATAATTCTAGCGAGTCATTCATCGGTAGTTAATGTCACTAATCACGTTTATCCTCAAATATCAAAGTAAAAAAAACTGCTTGTCAAAAGTAATTTCTATAAAAGTTATCATTACTAAAAAACATGCCAAATTATACTTATAAAAACTGAGTGTCCGGAAATTATATGCCTTTTATACTTAATACTTTTGATTAAAAAATGTGTAAATTTAGCTTTGCTGAAAAATTGTTATTTATATTCTTAAAACTTTTGAATCATTTATTACAACAAATGCAAATGTGATTACTTTTAGTGAAAAATTTTTGCAGCAATGAACTGCATTGTAATCTGTGCAGAAATTTGCATAATTAAACTTGAATTGATTACTAATAGTCAGTTTTTTTAATAGAAATTAAAAACAAACTCAATTACAGTAATTAGAATAAAGTAACCAAGCAAATAAGAATTTAGTAAGTAATTCATGAATTACAGTAATAAAATTATTCCTTCATTAAAATTGA